CCAGTTTTATAAACAATAATTTCGCATATCCCTCAGCCCTCGTGGTCGTCCTATATTTCATTTAAAAAATACTTAAGAAAAAATTCACGGAAAGAATGTCGGTAGAAGTGTGAGTCACTCTGCTTCAATCACAGCCACATCCACCCTCAAGATGAATGTCAAGAATCTTTGTGTCTTATCTACGATTTTCGATTTCCAATGGATTCCCAAAACTTCCTAAAGATTCCGAGCAGTCATCCTATTCCGGAAAGTTACACATTCCGGAATCGTCTGGCCCACCTAACTTAACAGCTTTCAACTCCGGAATTTCCTGCATTCGATTCCTGCCCATTCCGGAATCGCTTGACATGGTGAGAAATACGGAATTCCGGAATTCGTGCATTTCCCGGAATTCCTGCACATTCCGGAATGGCTCGATCTATTGATATTTAAGTACAGTTTAGCATAGAAAGCTTTCGTCGGTGTGCAAGCACAATAGTGTGGGTGCGCGGGAGGCTCGGTCCTTGAACAAGCACGGAATGAGCAGGAATTCCTACCTATTCCGGATAATTCCGGAAAAGCAGTAATGTGCAGGAATTCCGGAATTCCGCTACGGAATCGATTTGATTATTGAGCAGGATCATTTCTACATGAAGTATAACTTGTGCAATTCCGGAATAGGCAGGAATCGAGCGCGAGAAATTCCGGAAAATGCAGGGATTGGATGCAAGGAATTCCGGAATTGATTTGTGTTAAGTTGGATGGGTCGAGCAATTCCGGAATGTGTAACTTTTGGGAATAGGATTCATTCTCAAGATTCCCAAGGATTCTCGCGGATTCTGTAAACGTTTTTGGATTCCATAATTCTATAATTTCACTCGCGGTCCCCTTGCTAGAATGTCTGGATGTCAAAATTATAATGAGATATCTTTTCTATAAGCACCGTTTCTAGTGGCTGTGCCCATCTGAGAGGATATAGGAGCGAATACAGCTCAGATCTGAACTCTTCGTCTAGATTTACCGTAGAAAAAATATTTTATCAGTAATTTGATTTTTATTGGTTATTGCTCAGCCAATGGGATTTTGAGGCAAACGGAGTACAGAGTCGAGTTCTCCGACTTAGCACACCTCGAAGTAACATCTGCGATCAGAAGATAAAGCTCTAATTCTAGCTCAATGACATCGTTAACAACATTACGACCATTTCCTAATTAATTATGTTTGACATAACGGTAACTTAGATGTCTTGTTTCACTGTGTGTTATATACCATTTTGTAGGTAGTTCAATTCTCTGTCAAATGGTATATAATAAGTGAGTTTTATTTTAGTCTCGTAGGCAATATTTTTTCGAAAATGGGCACACGCCGATCTTCCTATAGAAAAAAAATAGGAAAAAACGAGTATTTTTTGCAATAACTCAGAAAGGGCTCGCCCAACCAGGCTCATCTTCGAATTCGACTTAGCTATTCGTGAGACTAAACTGTGCAGAAAATTTTATTACGATGTGCCTCTCGTTTCGAACGTTATCGTGTAAACGGACAGACGGACGCACTGACCGATTCTAGAGTGTACTCACTTTTTGAGTACACAAAAATGAATAGCAATATTCGAATATGGTCGAATACATTCATAGAGAACAACTAATCTTTTTAAGTATAAAAATGAATGTGCATTCAATAGCAAACGTTTTTACCTGTGATATGCCGTCGATATTACTTTTATAGAAATGATTTCAAAAAAAAATATATTGCAGTAAAATACTCCTTCATCTTTTGAATTATATTTGTCTATTGACGTCAAATTTTATGAATAATATTATGGTTTTTCTTTTCTTATTCATTTCAAATAAAAATGATCGATAGCCTTTTATATAATGAAATAAATATCACGTAAAAAATGCTTCTTGAATATTCCAAGGTAACTGTCTCATTCTTTGTTGTCTAATGAATAAATTTATTAGATTTAATTCAGAATACTGACGAAATATCACGCACTCGTTTTATATTTGTTCAATATTAAGCATGTTAAAGTTATTTATTCCTCTCTCTTTCTTTTCCTTGCTATAACAGAAATGCATGATTTTATAAGTTAATCAGCGTTCAGAGTCACTAAAATAATAGGATCCTTCTAAGGTATAGAAATTGCAAACGTTTTAGTCACAGAAACTTCAGGATAACTGTCAAACTTTTCATCAGTATTCGTAACTAAAGAAAAAATGAAAAAGAAAATTTTTAATTAGGTATAGTAAAATAAAAGGATAAAGATGCGAAGGTAGATGTATTTAACTTAAAAGTCGCATCCACACTTTACTCATATCCTTAACCATCTTGAGGGTTTGGATGTGTGTGAGTGTATCATTTATATCCCACCCACACCCACAGTCACCCTCAAGATTTAAGTTATGTTCAACACTATTCGAAGGGCTTGGAGTCGAGCTGAGCAATGAGAAAAAACGAGGGTGTGGTGGGTGTTGGTGCTAGTTGAATACAGTATCCATAACCACGCACCCACCCTCAAGATTTTCGAGAACATCAGTTTTTAATATCGTTTCCGTTCACGAGCTTATCACGAGAATTTCCGTTTCTGCGGAAAAATGCGGGAAAAAATCGTTCCCGCAGGACCCTAGTTGCTAATGCTTTAATAGAAGCATGTAAAGAACAAGCTCGTCAATATCATAATATTCATTCGATTATCTGGCAAACAGCTGCAGATAATTATTCCGGACAAAAAGTTTATGATCGATTAGGTATTCTTCCGCAAATATGTACTGATTATGAATTAGTTTTATTTGAATAAATTTAAAGAATTATATACAAAGTATTTGACAATAAAATTCTGTTTTTTCTTTAAATAATGATTGAATTTATTCATCTGTACTAGTTTGAATTTGTTTCCCAAATGATAAAAATACGTGTTCAAGTGTTGTTTGTGATATTGTATATGTTTCAATTTGTAATTGTTGTTTATTTTCTTCAAGTAATTGAAATAATTCAGCCGGTGTACCTTGTCCACATTGAAATAAACCTGTTGAATGTGTTGTTTCTTTAACTTCAATTTGATATTGTCGTTGTGATAATAAAAATCTTTGAACATTTTGTATTATTAATGCATTTGTTTCATCAGGAGTTGTACGAACTTTAATTTCAATTGTATAACCACGACCAAATTTCGATTTTAAATGTTGAATTGTACCTAAACAAGCAAATTGACCACGAACCATTATACCAAGACGATTACAAACACGTTCACTAGAAATGTAGGACGAAAAACATATGAATTATAATTCATTTTATTCATTACCATTCATCCATTGAATGACTTGTTAAAATAATAGTTAATTTAGCTTTAACAGCATTTAAAAATATTTCTTGCATTTGTTGACGTGCATTTGGATCAACACCCGTTGTTGGTTCATCAAGAATAGCTACTAATGGTGGTCCTACAAGACAAAGAAATTAATAAGTTTTATTTAAATAAATCTAATACCAATTAATGCTATAGCAGTATGTAATCGACGTTTTGTTCCACCACTTAATTGATCAATATAATTATTTAAAAAAGAATCAAGCAAGAATAATGAACTCATTGTTTCAACAATTGATTTTAAACGTGATGTTTTAACACCACGTATACGGGCTATTAGATAAAGACTATCTCGAACAGTTAGAAAATCCATACTACAATCTTGTTGTGGACAATAACCTAAATGACGGGTGGATTTTATATGACGACGAACATTTTGTCCATCTATATAAGTTGTGCCGTGTGTTGATATTATATCACCAACGACAGTACGAAATGTTGTTGTTTTACCAGCACCCTATTTTAAATTAATTAATTAGAAAAAAAGAAATGTATTATTATTATTGTTTATTTACATTATAACCAAGTAAACCAAATGCTTCTCCACGTCTTGCACCAAATGTTAGATGATCAACAGCTAAAATTTTTCTTCTTGAATAATATTTAACAAGATTTTTGACTGTTAAATGATCAACATTTTCTTCATCTTCAAATGTATGTGTTTGCGTTTCTAAAACTCGATGACGTTCAGCTAAAACATCATCATCAAGAGTATTTTCATTAAAATTTGGTTTATAGAAACTTGAAAATGAAAATTGTAATAAACCACTATCAATAATAATTAATAAGAATAAGAATATAACTATATGTAAAACAAGAATAGCTATATTCCAACCAATTGTGTCATCACCAATAGGTTCAAAATATAGTTTGTCCTCACGATCGTCTGCTATAATCAGTGGAATCGCTACTTTACAGAATTGACTTTCATGTGCTAAGATATAAGTTATTATAGCTTGTGAATTAATAGTTGGAAATATGATACTAAATAACCAATATAAAAGTTTTTGAATAGATATACTTATCATATATGTTCTCAAAGCTGAGAAAATAATACTTGTAGAATGAAGAATTATTAATATAAAACATATGGTTATACCACCCTAAAATATAGATTAAATCAGTTAAAGAATAATAATAACAGTTATGAGAAAAAACAAAGTTTGATGATTTAGTAAAATAAATAAAAATACCGTCAGGGGTTATAACACTGAAGTTATATCCCATAATCATCAACGTAACTTTTCCGAAAAAGTGAATGAGAGAGATGTTCATTGCGGCTGGAAATTCAGAAAACTGACGTCGCACTGCTATCACGAGGGTAAAGAGAAACAGATTGTCGTCATGCACATCTTTCGTGAATGATTATTTTCTCATGAATTATAATTGCAATGTATTGATCGTATATTAGAAATGTTACATATGAAAAGAAGTACATACGAGAATATCATTTTTAAAAAGTTTTGTTAATAAATAAGCAAATGGTAAAGTTGGTAATGCTATTAAAATTGATAATCGATAAAACTGTTTACGTAAATCCCATGATCTAAGAAATTCAACTACATTTTGTAATGATTTATTTTTTGGTCGACTATCAAAAGCAGCATCAAATATACAATAAATTGCAAGTAAATAACAAAACCATATAATAGATATTGTCATATCAAATAGATAAGTAAATAACCAATATGATGCTGGACTAGAAATAAAAATTTACTATCGATTTTATTGAATAATTAAGTTTTATTTACTGTAAACCACTAATATTCAGTAATGATAAAAAGCTATCTTTTCGTTCACTGATTACAAATACAGTTGTGTAAAAGAATAAAATATAGAATATAAACCTAAATAAAATCAAATTACAATTTTTTCAATGAAAATATATTTTTTTTAAGTTTACATACAAATGAAGTAAAAGTGATGTTGGTAATATTTTTCTAACACATGATACTATATTTAATATATCTATTAATTTACCAATCGATGGTTCTTCAGTAAAATTCCTTGTATTTTTTTTATAAATAAGTGTTGTTTGAATCGATGCACTTGAATCATTTAATGCATGTTTATAGAATATATTTGATGCAAGAGATATAACTTCATAACCTGATATTAAATTTGACGATAATGCTTGAATCTTATAAGTATCTCCAGCTGGTGGAGGAATATTCAAACCAAGATAAATATCTGTATATGTATATGAAAGATCCATTCGTTTTTCTAGTATAAGAATAAAATAATAAAAAATCATTATTTTAATAATATTAAAACTTACTCCAAATATTTTCATTCATTTCAGATATATTTCCTGATCCTTGTTCAAGTTTTACACCATTAATAGATGCAAGAAAATATTTATATATACTTGAATGTGTATGATATAAAATTGTTTGTGGATTAAGAGAATTGAAATTCATTTTAAAAATTCCTGTATCATTTTGACTTTGAGATATTAAATTTGATAAAAGATTGTATAAAATTGGTAATAATAAAACAAGAAGTGTTAATCCCCAACGACGATAACGAACAAGTACAGTTTTTATTAATAATCCATGAAATTGACTTAAATAATAATGAGGACCAGAAAGAGAACGTTGATGCTGAAATACATGGCGGCATTGTTTTTCTGCAACAAACAAAATAAATTTCAACATAGAGAACTAAACTCTATAATTATGAGGGTGTGAGTACGGATGTAGATGGATGTGAGTACGTGAGTGAGGGTGAATGTATAGGTATGGACTACTCTTCTTCCACACCAATATTCTCACCCACACCCCGCACCCACATCCTCGAGTTAGTTATTCATTAATAAACAAAAATCATTAACGAACCGATCGTATTAGTATAAATGGATGTTGATCCTGAATTATTTTTAACTTCTGTATCTCTTGTAATTTTTAAGAATATATCATCCATAGTACTATTTTGTACGCCATAATTTTTAATTCGATTATTTCTTTTCATTGATTCAAGATGATGTAATGCATGAATAAATTGATCATTTGGTTGTTGATTTGTACGAAAAACGACATCACCACCAGATATATCTGTTTCAACTTTTAATTCTGGTAAATAATTACGTAATTCATTTTCAATATTATTTGTTCGACAACTACTTTGTTTATTAATAATCAATTTATAACCTGATCCATATTGTTTTTTTAATTTAGCTGATGTTCCATCAGCTTTAATAACTCCATTAGCAATAATCATAATACGATCAGATAAAGCATCACTTTCTTCCATAAAATGTGTTGTTAATAAAAGTGTTTTACCTTCTTTCATTGAACGTAACCAATCCCATAGTAAACGACGATTAGATGGATCAAGACCACTTGATGGCTTAGATTATATTTAAAATAGAAAAAATAATCAAAATAAATAAATAAATACTTACTTCATCAAGAAGAATTATTTTTGTATCACCAATAAATGCGCAAGCTAATGATAAACGTCTTTTCATTCCACGTGATAATGTATTACAGTAAAGATTTTGTGATCCTTCAAGATTAACTGAACGAATCATTTCAAAGGCTATTTGTTGTTTACTTTTTTCAAATCCTCGAGCTATTGCATAAAATTCAATTTGTTCTTTTACAGTTAATAAATCAAAAAGAATATCATGTTGAGGACAGTAACCCATAGATTTTCTTAATAATTCCATATTTGTTCGTGTATCCAAAGCTCTTTCATCTTCACTTTCAATTGTTATTATACCGAATGATTGTCTATATATTCCAATTAAGCAATTAAATATTGTTGTTTTACCTGAACCATTTCGTCCAAGTAATGATGTTATTTGATTTTCATATAAATCAAATGATACATCATTAACTGCGACTTTATCTAGACCAAATTTCTTAACAAGATGATTTACATGAACAATTGATCTACTATTGGAATGAGTTCTTTTAAGAGGTAAAGCACGATCAGAAAATGCTTCAATAGTATGATTAACTTTTTCTGGACGCCAATAATTTCGTTTGAAAAGAAAATTCCAATCAAGTGGAATACCATATTCACCTAAAATTGAAAAAAAATAGATCATAAATAAAGATTTAGTTAGTAGAATGTTTTAAATTAATCAAAAATATACTCCATCATATTACATTAGTGTGTTAACAATGAGACACAAGGATATACAAGAGTACAATCATCGCAATAGGGTGGGTGGGTGTGAGTGAGTGGGTGAGGGCGAATGTAGGTGTGGATGTATAGGTATGAGCTACTGTTCTTCCACACCCACACTCCGATCTCATGCGTAGTTATTCTCAATGGATATCTGTAACTATTAGTTATTCTTTACCTTGTAAAACTTTTTCCAAATACCAAGATAAAATCCAATAGAAAACACAACTAACAATCATAATAATCAATGTTACAAAATATATTGGTATATGACGATAAACTGGTTGAAATAATGCTATATCTTTATATGCTAACTCATGTAAAATTGCTTGCTAAGAAAAACAAAATTTTAATTTCGAAACTTAATAAATAAAAATTTTTACTTGAAAAATCGAACGTCCAGCAATATAGGGACTAAGAAATATGAATATATATTGTATAGCTGTTGGCCATACAATAGTATATGGATATATAAATATTGATAAACCATATATGAGAAAAGTGCCTAATACTGCACGAAAAGTTTTATCAAATAATTGTGCATTCATTATACAAAATGATATTAATTGTAAACCATATATAAAATATCCAAGAAAAAGAATACCGAAGTTAACTGTATTAAAATATGCATCAGGTTTTAATTTTAATTTATATATAATACATAATAATAATGTCAAAAAACACACAATAATTAATGTTCTAAAAGAAAAAAATTCGAAAAATATTTAAAGAAAGAAAATAATATTTTACCGGATTGCTTGAGCAAAATTATTTAAAATAGGTTCAATTCCAATTACTTTAAGAATTTCTTTAACTTTATCATTTTTTTCTCGAATTAAACTGGTTAGAAGAATTAAATATCTAAGAAATACAAATATATACATCTACTGATTTAGAAATATTTTACATACGGAATAAAATATACAAAATCAATAAACATTAAAACTATTATTATCAATACTGCTGATTCTAAAAAATAAAATATTTATTTATTTTTTTCGATATATATATAAATTTTATGTTACCAAAAAGTAAATCTTCGCGATATGGTGTACATATTATAGGTTCTCTTTGAAGTTCAAATTCAATATTTTTATTCGTTTGATAACCAATAAGTAATGAATCAATAAACATTTTTACATCACTAAATTCAGGTAATCCTGAATGTTCAAAATTAGAAGTATTACTAAAATCAATTAAACTAGATCGATCAGGAATAAATGCTAAATATAATTCAAATTTAATCTTATATAAGTAAAATTATCTTTAGATTATTTACATGGATGTAAAAATGATAGAAATGATAGATCAATTGGATCAGTTTTAGGAATAATACTTGGCATTCGAACCATTATGTTATCTATATATAAATATATGCAGATTCGTTATATTTTTATTCTTTAAATACTTACAATCAAGATTATGATCATTTTTTAAATTGGATGTTGAACTAAAATCAATAATAACTGTATCTTCTGTATCATTTTGTAATAAATGACTATCATTTTTATCATCCATATTTTGATTTCTTTAAAAAAAGTTTTTTATTAATATAATTAATCAATTAGATCAACTTACCGAACTTTTAAATTTTCACAATTCATATTTTTTAAACGTGTTTTAGCACGTTCAACAAGAACATTCGTATCATTTGTTATTGGTTGAAATACAAAATTTATTATGCCTGAAGCTGTTCCTGAATAGAAAGAACTTGATAGAAATTTGAAACAACTGTATATTGAATCTGTTGATAAACTTGTTGTTATTATTGTATTTCTATTTTGTGGACATCGACGATAATCAGAATTTCTAGACTCAGAAAGAGAATTCTTATTTATCCATTCAACGAGTGCTTCAGCTTCATGACGTATTAAAGCTAATAATCCAATAAGAATTAATGAAAATAAAAGTTCACAAAATATTGTTGGACAACATCGACAATATCGTTGCCGATACGAATATCGAAGTGAACGTTGGAGTAATAAATTAAGTTTACGCGATGAACCAATAGGTAAATATTCAGCCTTTGTTACATGTTGATGTTGTTTTCGTGATTCTAACTCATTTGTATTTACTGGATCATTCAAACCTAATGTCAATGAAGAATCCATTTTACGTTCTTTGTCAATCGGAGCTTCTAATAGATCTATAAGTATTAAGCAATAAACATAAGAATATTCTCGATATCAATGTCTATGTTATTATTTCGGACGGAATAATTCACAATGAATTAGAATAATGTATTTTATTTATGTCTTCATCTACAGCAGATATCAATAAGTAACCCTTCATAGTTAAAAGAAGAATAAAAGAGAAATTTTTTTCGCGTATATTTATATGTTTATATTTTCTCAGAAAAATATGATAAGTAAGCAGACGTGCAGAATTTGTCTCTTAGATAAAAGATTTTCTATTAATAGTGGAATAATTATCAAAAGAAGGAAAAACTTTTCAAGTGCCGCGCGCGCAAGTGAACATATTCTGCAGCGCTGTCATTATATAAATATTTGTGTCTGAATTTCCTGTCACGCAATAAATACTTATCAGCTTGAAAAGAATGTTAATCTTTACCTTTTTTTAACGTTAACTGATGTGAAATATGTGAGAAAAAAATCAATAAAAAATATCACGTATGTCAAAAGGAAAACATACTAATTAATCTTTGTTAACTTACCACGATTGCGGAATAAATATTTTTATAGTCGGTTTCCGCCAAAGAAACGGAGAGAGAAAATCAAAGTGAAGATAAATAAATGCCTAAGAAAATCGATGAGCTACGTCAATGCTCTCTCTTTTTTTCTTCTATTCACTATAGGTTACTTGTTTATTAAATGCTGTAAATATAAATTGAAAAGCAAATCAAACAGAAACAGAAAAAAAACCGGCATTTAAGATGACTAGTATTTTTAAATATAATATGGGAACGAATTACAATGGACATTATATATTTTATTCTTTTCATAGAAGATAATACCTTACACATCATTAGTTTTGTGTCGTTTTCAATTGACGTAAATAATTGATGAGTCTTGAAAACATCATATCCTTTCATAATAAATGAATAGAATTTATAAAAAAGAAAAGATAATTATAAGAGAGATAAAGACAATTACCAATGTCTTTTTCAGTATTTTCACTTTGGTATTATTTAGATAAATGATTGTATTGAAGAATCTTTCTCAAACTTAAATTTGATATGATAAATGCGTCATATTTGATTTCATATTAAGTACTAAGATTTTATTGTTGCATGTACATCTAATATTAAAGAAAAAGCTACTTCCTCTCGTTCTCATCATTTTGTTTTTCAACAATCTTTAGTGATAAAGAGTTTAGGCTATTCCTTTTAATGCGATTCTTATCAAATAAGTATTTTCTTCGAATTGTATATGTACTTAATAACTCATAGTTAAAATATGACTTACAAGAAAAATATGTTTGAACAGTTGTTTCAGTAAGAAATGCATAAATTCAAAATTTAAAAAACTTGTCTAGATCGTCTTCTCATAATAACAATTTGTCTTTAAGATGGGCCAAAAGTCACTTTACCAAGAAAAAACGTAATATATAAGATGGCACTAAAGTCATACTTTGTCAAAATATTAAATATTTTCACTACAACTTTAGCAGACAATATAAGTTTTTTTTATTAATAATAGAGATATTTTCAAAGCTTTTATTCGCAAAGACATACTTAGAGAAGCTTTTTGGTAAATATATTATTCTTTTCTTTACACTTCAAAGAGTAAGTTTTTTTTTGTTAAGATAAATATTAATATTTAATAAAAGATCTTTTCAAGCACGTCTTTATAAATATAGACTTTGAGCATGTCTCTAATATTACTATAAAAATCTGCGCTTCCACGCGAGCCGTAATGGGGATACTCAAATTTCTTCGCTTTACTCTGACATCCACACTCACACTCATCCCTGAAATGTTCAATATATTAAAAAAATAATTGTTGAGTTTCTGATGATCACTATGTTTATCATTTGTTTTTTTGATGTGATATTTATGATAAACTCGCTTTTCTACGATTGTTTTTAACAATACTAATAAAACTCAAGACTTTTAATGATATATGACGATAATTTTTAATGTTACAAAAAATAGTTTTTAGTATGAGATAATTAAATATATTTGTTTAACAATACAGATTTATAATTTTAACACATCTAGAATTATACAGTGTTGATTTTGAATGATGTCTTAAAATTAAGCAATAAAAATAACATTTATTGATATATAATTTATTGAAACGTGATTAAGTTTGCTCCAAACTCGATATGACAATTTTCATCATGTTCGTTATAAATCTATCAAAATCTATGACTAGACTAAATGTCACTCTTGTTTTGTTTCATTGATAAAGTCTAGTATTATGCTTTGTAAAATAATATCCATTCATTTAACTTCTGATACTACAAAAACTTATTTCACATAAGACTACCAATTGTAACTTGTACTTTAATTGATTAATAATTGATTATTGTTTGCAGTAATAAATACTTTTTTGAAATATATTCTATTGATACTAGAATTGAAAATTCTGTCTACAAAGATCAATAACCTATTGTCGAAAGGGGTGTATGTGTTTGCTTTCCTCACCTACACCCACACCCTGTTACATCGATCTCAACTAAGATTTTTTAATATTTATTCAAGAAGAAATAAGGCGATAAGTGATTACAGCAATCGGCAGAACTTGCGTTAAGCGATAAATAACGTACTCGGACGTATCAGAGACAGTGTTTTGAACAGAATGATGATCTTGTGGCGCGTAGCACAGAGTATTATCCATATGGTTCATGCTCATTGTTTGACCTAGGATCACCTTATTATAAAACATAATACGTGTAGTGTCATTATCCGCAGGCAGTGTATACTCATGAGACTTCTGTGCATTGTCAGCAAAATAAGCACCATTACCTACAGTCAATAATTTTAAGAATATTCTCCTAATAAGTGCTTTCAACTTACCCAATTGACCATGAGTCTTGAATAAACCATAATCAAACCCTTGTTCCATAAGTTTCTTCGCTTTGTCGGTGTGTATACCGTGAAACAAAAACTGTTCATTCGGATTATGATCCGGACATGCATTGGTAATTATTTTTTTCATTGATGCGTAGACAATATCCAGTTCAGGATTATGAACGTGTTCTATACTTATAATGATACCTGAAGTAATTTTTTGCATTTGATTCGCAATTGTTTTGTAAAGAACTGAGGTTTCTACTAACGAACTGACCGCAAAGATAGGCTTGATTTGTTGAGGTTTGTTTATTAGTGGGACACCTATCTGTGTCCAACCTCGAGTGACCATTTTTTGAATACGACTGATAATAAGTTCATTTAGTAAAGGTAGGACGTGAAATTTTTTGCATTGAATGTTCTCAATAATTTGCTTCATACTAATGAAACACGGCGATTCACTTAGATCAACACGTTGAGTGAGCTCGTTACATTGGTCACGTTTTACACAAAGATTATTTACATCAAGATCGGGTATGCGAAATCCAACATTGCTGTATGGCTCGATCAATTCCAAGGTGAATGGCCCTGTAGAATGATACTGATCGAATAGTAACCGATAGGAACGGCGAGAACGAAACAATTGTGGCTTCATATTGAAAGCATTGATCTCATTGCAAAACTTTTCGACGTCAAAGTACTGGTTCAACGGCATTTTACAGTCGAGATCTGAAGGAACCAAAGCTTTCAAAAGAGAAGGGGTACCTGTTAGCGCATCGAATTTGACCCAATCCGAAGGTTGAATTTCTGGTGCAGGGCGAACTCGTTCGTTGGCTACGATCCAGTCACGAACAAAACCACCTTCGAGATTACAATTAAATTTGCATACAGCTATCCATGCTACCACTTCCATGCGAGACTCGCGTGTCGCTTTTGGACCACACACACTCAACCTCAGATCCATGTGAGTGCGTCCACTATCAGCAACGCGTGCAATACGTTCTTCCATTGCTGCTAAATGCGTTCTCAGCTTACCAATTAGACAATAACCTACAAGAGGGTACATAAGTTTTCAGATGACATAATGAACACGCGCCACTGATTTGGTTTCTTTCTCATCAACTTTCAGTTAAAAACTACGTATAAGACTCGATCGAACAGAAATGCTATCTTAAACAATAGGGACACATCTATCATATGAGCACTGCTGTTAGACTATAAAGGATACTAGTAGAAATTACCTGTTACACAATGACTTCAATATGTCGATTTGAGAGACTAAAATCATTGTATATAAAGGAAAATATTCCCAATGTGAAACAAATAGTGTTATGAGCAACTGCACAAATTTCAATCATATGTCATGATTGTTTTTTCACAGTACAAAGACACCGCGTCACCTTGAAAATTCCCTGTAGTTATTTTCTTTTGTCAGAAAGAATCATTTTCTTCCAACATACAACGACCATACAGGTGAATACTGAGTCATAGAAAAAATAATGCATATGTCGTCAGATCAACAAACTTTGCAAGAAATTTGACAACGATTGAGTAATTCACAATATGGCATTTCAGCAGGTAAAAATCCATGAGAATAACTCACAGCGTCCATATATATAGTTTAACGTTTGACAAAGCAAATTATCAACAACAGCTTATCAAAGCCAAACATATGCTAGGAGAAATAATATTAATAATTCCTTACTCATGCTTTACTAAATCACATTGTGAAGAAGTTTAATCTTTTTAGATTGCATTAAATATAACTGCCGACTTTATTTCAATGGAATTGACTCTCTCTCTAATTTTGATCAATATTGGTTGTATTCTGGCTATATATTTGTGAGTATAAATGAAACTTTCTAGAGAGGAAATGAGTATACCAACGAGTTAAGTCTTGAGGGTGTGGGTGTGGGTATGGGTTTCAGCGTATTCTATGCACACCCACACCCTCAAGACTAGGGATTTTTCAGCCGTGTCTCATAAAATAATTTATTCAATTAACAGATATTCGATACGCAAGCATCGATACTGGAAAAAGCAAAACGTTCCCGGTCCGCGACCGTGGCCGTTTTTCGGCACCTATCTCAAACAATTTTTTGTTCCATTTCCTGAAACTGAAATGCAATGGTACAACCAATATGGAAACATTTATGGGTAAACTAGACATACATAAGTTTCAAATGTTTTCATCTCATTTGTTTCTTTCTTTTTTAGAATTTACGACGGCTCAGAACCAGGTAACTACACTGACAGATTAATAGAACAGTTTGAGCTCGTAGGATGTCTATGTTGTTTTTCTAGGTATCATCGTTGGTGATCCTAATCTGATTAAACAAATTATGGTGAAAGATTTTCATATTTTTACCAACCGTCGACCCGTCAAAACTACCCATCCAATTATGAGTAAATTCTTATCTTCTCTTGTTGGAGACGAGTGGAAACGTGTCCGTTCAATAGTGACACCAACTTTTACAAGTGCGAAGATGAAGCGATTATTTCATACCATGAAAAATTCGTCAGATGATATGCTAGATCGATTGGAACAAGTAGCAACAAGACAAAATGGTGAGATCGATCTGAAGGAATTGTATGGTGACTATACGATGAATGTTATTGCTAAGTGCGCCTTTGCAACAAAACCTAACAATATTTTTGTGCAGAATGCAACTAAGCTATTTACATTTCCATTTTGGCGAAAATTCCT